GTATGAAAGAATCTTAACAACATTGGGAAGGGAGGTTGGCGAATCTCCTAACGTGTGTTAGGAGGTAAATTGTCTCTGGCGGTACTATTGAATATTGGGAAGCCAAGCTCTAACTACTGCATCAGTTGTCCCCAACTTGAGCACCTTCAAAATGCATCGATGTCAACTGAGAATTCTGGGAGTTGAAGTCCACTCATCTTAAAGTGGCCAAGTTTGGACAACACTGCACTAGACTCAAGCTAATCCATGTTTGCACCAATAAGCAGGCCCACCTGGATCCAGAGCCATTTTGAGAAAACACAAATGGGTGACTCAGCTCAGCCCTTTGCTTGCTTTCTGGTATGTGGCTCACTGTAGCAACCTTTCAGGCCACAACATACCCCAAAGGCTCCAAACTGGCCCTCTGAGATTGGGGAGCTCTGAATTAGTTTGTTGGACTAGGACAAAAAGCCTTAATTTGAACCCACCATGTTCATGTTGCTCATTCACTAACTCTGAGCCAGACACTCACTCTCAAACTACTTCACTGGATTGTTGTGAGAATGGAATTGGGTGAAAAAGCAGTGTAAGATTCCTTAAACTCAAGGAAAATCAGGATACACACAGAATAAATAAATGTCAGAGGGGGGTTTTTTCCTCCCTTCAGGAGCAAAAAATGGTTTACACGGTAAAGTCCTTAGAGTCTTTCAAGACAAAATAACATTTTACTCTTTTAATTTAAACCCAATGACGAATGCCTTTTATATCATATTGAAGAAGTGCTCTGGTTGTCACTACAGTGTAATGTTTATACATTAGGAGTTTGGACTTGAATCTCCCTTGGAGGCTTTTATTTCTTCTTTATGCCGCTAGATCTTTATACACTATGTGTGAATGATGTGATTTTTAACATCAATGGCTTAATGAAATCCTGGCTCGGGAGCAGCGTCAAGAAAGTTACAGAGTTATGTCCACATGAAAAACAGAATGGCATTCTTATTGATGTATCCATGGAGGACCCCCTTGCTACCACCGAGTTGGTGAAACGCAGAACAAAAACATTTTGAAATGTTATTGATTTTAGGCTTTCGTGAAGTTTTCAATTGTTATTTCTGTTTCCCATTGCCTGGGCTTTTAAATTTCACAGGAAACAGAAGGCCTATGAAAGAAACTGCCAACTTGAAATGCTGAATAAATGCCCTCATTTTCCTCCATTATCCAACTGCAGTATTTTGTCGCTGGAAAATTGCTTCATGCTGTATAAAGCAGAGATTGACACCATAACTGCAGGGTTGAAATCTCAGGCTCCTACTGAATAAGTTTGGTGCCTTTAACTTGGGTTAGTTTCTCCCCATATTCCATGGATCGCTTTGCATTCATGCAATAAGAGGTTTCAAAACTTAGGAAGAATGCAAGGGACCTCTGATTACTTATTCATGCTTTGACATGAACTTGGTCTTTCCTACTTCCATTAGTTTTTTTTTCCATAAACAAAAAACACTGTAGCAATAGAACTCTAATGTTTACTCAGAAGTAAGTCCCATGTTTCCATGTGAATCTAAAGCAGTGGTTCTCAACCAGCGTGCCGTGGCACACAGGCATGCCATGGGCTTGTTTCTAGTCTGCCACG